GGCGTGCGGATATCGTGTGGTGCCTCGCACCGAGCCAAGGAACTGCCAGGCCAGGCGGTTGAGGCTGCTGCTCAACATTTGCACACAATCGCACCTCCCCTAGGCTGGGCGGCTGGGCCCGGCCGCCCGGTGCTTCACCGTGTTTCACGCGCTCGCAACGGGAATGACACGGCTGTAATAACAACTTAACGTCGTCTATAACACACTTCGTTTGTTCACATGTGCGTGTACCTTTCGCGTCGTGTTTCTGCAATGTTCTCGTAACGAGTACCGTTAAAAAAGATGCTTGGGCTCTGTTTGCTTAGAGGCACAGGCACGCAGACTTTACTTCGTTCGTCTGCAATCAATGTGTGCAGTGCAATATTTTAGCTAAATATTTTGGTTTTTAGTCTATTGTTTGCTGGTAACTCTCCTTACTGCAGCGCTCCCAGGAGGGCGTGGTTGCGTCCGTCCTCCTGCACCCTGGATGAAGCGGGGACCACCCGCCACACCCTGCACTCAATATCGCGGGGGCGAGTGGCGCAGTGTGCGGGGCGCGGCGGGGGCAGCGGTGCACCGGCAACGGCTTTGTATGGAAATGCTTTTTTATCCAGCCGGGCCCCGTAGGTGAGGTCCCGCCAACATCCGATTCCAATCTCGGTAGCCCGGCTCGAGGCGAGACCCGGCAGCCGCCGGCCACTAGCGCGAGGGGGTGAGTGAGGCTGTCTCTTGAGTGGCCCGGCCCGAGGCCCGGCCCGCCAGTGGCCGTGTTGGTCCGCTGCCATACCGCGTTATGGAGGGCGACACGAGCCAAGAAACGAAAAGAACTCGCCGCCTCGCGGTGCAGCAGCAAAGCAACTCCTGCAGCGCTGGTACACTGTGAAGGGGCAGGCCTCTGTTTATGCCACCTAAATCGTTTGGTCGTCAACACCAGCCTCAGCAGCGGCAGCAGCGGCAGCAGGTGTGGACCGTCGTAAAGGAATCATCCGTGCGGTCCGGCGCGGTCCAGGCTCCGTGTTTATGGGAGGCTGCGGCGCGCGCCGTCCCCACGCACCAGCGGAGGGGAGGGGAGGGGAAGTGCTAACGCGGACCAGTAATTTATCGGTCTGCCATTTAGAACTGTTTGCGCATTGTACGTGGGTGGCGGGAGAGGCGAGGAGGTCAGGGAGGGGTGCAGTCCCGGACACGCACCTCCCCGCCGCCCTGCTCCGCGGCTCGGCGCCGAGCGGAAGAACAATGCCCTCCCGAATGGAATCCCGTACCGACCCTTCCCAGAGTGGCCCCCGCCTCCCTCTCCTCTCCACGTACTTCCATCTGATGACAAACGGAATAGATGTTAATTACCGCACGCTGCCCCGGGCGGGGCGGCCGCAGCAGTCCCATTTATTAATCCCGAGGGTACTAATTACTCACTCGGGGGCGCGCATCCATCACACGGGGGCCCGAGTGTTCAAGAGTAAATAATTACCATACGTGGAGTTTGGGCCGGCCAGCGTTGTTGTAATATTCTCCCGGGCTGAGCACGCGCGTCCGCTCCCTCCCTCTCTCCCTCTCTCTCTCTCCCTCCCTCCCTCTCTCTCTCTCTCTCCCTCCCTCTCTCCCCATGCTGTCGCTTGCGTGCGCCCGTCATCACCCAGCTCGCCGGTGCGTGTACTTCGGCTTCTACAAGCGCATTTGCGTGCAACAACGAGAGCAACACGTAACCCGTATACTGCCTGCGCATCAAGCAGGTTTTAAGAGATTTTTTTCGCACAATGAAGCAGCTTAGGAGAGAGAGAGAGAGGAGGTAGCCCAGGTGTCGGGGAAGTCATAACCATAAAAGTTAGTTGCTCCTCCTCAGCGCGACCAGCATGTGCGAGTGAGAGAGACGGTGAGAGGGAGGGGGAGGGCCGCTCTGAAGGCTGGGTCCCTGCCAACCACCTATGTCTTTTTTACACGTGACACACGAATATCAGAGACATTCTCTGGCGCGAGTAAAGTTTGCCGCCCGCTCTCCCTATGGTGCGTGACATGCTGTCACACACTCTTATTTCTTTATAGTGTTGGTCCTGCTCTGCTGCCGCGGCAGGCCCGGCCCGGCCCGGCCGGGTGCTGCAGCCAACGGCAGCACCACCAGCACTTGCCATATTTCACGCCTTTCGCGGCGCCGCTCCGCGAGCTGCACCGTATATGCACGTATACGAAAAATACAGCGAGATAAGACGGCGAAATGACGCGACGGGACGAGACGGGCCCGACCGGCCGTTGGGCGCGGCAGCGGTCTTCAGGCGTGAGAAGGTATGTGTTGATGGTGAAGGGGGAGGGGGGAGGGGGTGCTCGTGGCCGCGCGGGGCACGACGTTTTTTGCCGGCGCTGCTGCAGCCGTTTTCGTGGACCAGTGGTGCGGCGCGTGTCGTGGTGTGGCGCGGCGGTGACCTCAACGCTGGGGTCGAGGGAAAGCCCACGCGCAGAGACGCAAGCGCGCCGAGATTGGCTTGGCCGATTTTCGCGCAGATTTTTCCACGTAGAGCCGAGTGTTTTTCGCCGCGTGGCGCGATAGGGTCCGGCGGGACGCCATGCCGAGTCATCGCTCCGCAGCGGTGACGCTACGGACGCTCAATCATACCGCGATACACCCACCCACCGCTCGACCAGCGGCTTAATATTTTTTCAAGTCTCCCTTTTCCGTCATGCCGTCGCGTCGGTGTTGTTTTTGTGTTGTTGGTCCGCCGAGAGGGGGGGGGTCAGGCAGTCGGGCAGACAGACGGACGGGTGATTGGCCCTCTTTCAAGATGGACCGGGATAGATAGACAAATTGGACTGCCTCATCCGGTCTAGGCTCGTCAGCGCCGCAGTCGCCGCACCCGTCTATCCCGCACCGCACCGACCCGTGGTCGGAAATCACTCGCCGGCGCCGCAGTCGCCGCACCCGTCTATCCCGCACCGCACCGACCCGTGGTCGGAAATCACTCGCCACGATGCAATCGCCTCGACCTCATGGTGCAGCCCATCGTGAAGCTTGGTCCGGGTCGCAGCACGAGGTGCAGCACGGGGTGCAGCACGGGGTGCGGCACAGGGTGGAGTATGAGGTGCAGCACGAGGTGCAGGACGGGGTGGAGCACGAGGTGCAGGACGAGGTGCAGCACGGGGTGCAGGACGAGGTGCAGCACGGGGTGCAGCACGGGGTGGAGCACGAGGTGCAGCACGTGGTGGAGTATGAGGTGCAGCACGGGGTGCAGCAGGTGTGATGAGAACCCATCTCGCTGCCGATCATGTCTGAAGCGAGCGGCCCGCGGCATCGCCTCTGTAATGACAGGGGTGGCCCAG